TGAGACGTCTAGAAGACGTGATAAGGTGCTATATCAAATGCAAGGCTTATTATTATATATTTATTATTATTTTATCCTTCTGCCTTACCACCATCCTTTTCCATTTTCAGGTCGCGCCTGAAGACCTTCCTCTTCGACCGTGCCAACGGTCACCTACCCCCTCCCCCCAGCCCGGAGTCGTGCTCCGCCACTGTCAAGCACTCTGGGACGCTTACCCTGTGTGAGGGGCGCTATGTAAATGCAAATTGTTGTTGTTGCTGTTCATATCCCCCTTTGTAAGGCTTCCTAGATGGCAGGTGGTTCTAAACTCATGGAGATTGGAAACCAGGTGAAGGATCCTGCTGGGAGCAAAACACTATCAGAAGCAATGCACTCATAATCATCCTTGCATTTGATATAATGTCAAGAACATCAGAACCTCACAAAGTTGCTTCCCTAGTCCTAGTCTTGGCCCCATTCATCCATTCTTTTCCTTACTGCGCCTTCATTTGCTTTCACAGAGCAGATACTCATCTAGTTATGGCTACTGTAGCAGATGAGAACATCAAACAGGTCACTGAGGCGCTGCTCAATAGGCAGATTCTCCTGTATGTTGTTTATCACACGGTCTCAATAAAGGTTCAGATGAAGAAAGCCTTTTGGTGCATTTGGTCTCATTCTTTCAGAATACAAATCTCACAGTCTCCCCAACACAACACCAAGATGATTTTAGGAAAATCCACAAAGAGCAATGTGCTGGAGTAAATACTCATTAACCCAATTATTAGTACAGTAAACCTCACATCGGATGCATCAGTTGGGACCGTACATTTAATATGACATGTGTAAATTATGAGTTATGTCAAACTTGCATAGAATATAAACTCTTGAACTAGACTTGGGCGGATGTACGACTTGGGCAATTATACAATTTATACAGATCAGATTTATGCAAGTTTTATTTACTGTAAATTACCCTTTACATATGTAACAAACCATTTTGGTTTACCACCGTTTATCAATGATATTGGCCTTTATGCCTCATCTCATCTTCCAACAATAGCACTCATCTCATAAGGGGTTCTTTGTCTGTACAGCCTAAGGCATTTTGAGCTCAATGTCTGGGCTGATGCTCAATTGAGGGCTGGAGGAGTGATAGATTATCAGAAGCGCTGTCCCTCAGGTAAGGATATTAAACTGAGGTCCCCTCTGCTTTTTCAAGTGGATATTAAAGATTGTTCGGCACTATTCAAAAAGAGAAGGGAGTTTTTTTTAGGTGTCTTGATCAACAACCCCCGAGGTAAAAAATAGTCACTCATTTCATAATTGTTTGTGGGACATTGCTATGTACAAATTGATTGCTGTGATCGGCAACAAGTACACAGTCACTACACTTTACAGAAAAACTCTGAAGCACTTTGAGACATTGTTTTGATTTGATAAGGCGCAGCATCAGATGAAAGGATTATTGTCAGTAATGTCTGACTTGTTAAGGGGCTCTTCAAAGCAAAATTTAGAAAGAGTGGATAGTTTGGTCATTTTATGACTGGCTCGATCTCGTACAATTTGTATCCTTGCAAGGTACAATTTGTGCCGGTGGCTTGAAAGCTTTCACCTCCTATCTGAAGATAATCAAATAGAATATAGAAAGTACAGAGGAGCACTGAAAAAGGAAATAAGAGGGGCAAGGAGATTGTATGAGAAAAGATTAGCAGGTAACATAAAAGGGAATCCAAAGGTATTTTATAACCATATAAAAAATAAAAGGTTAGTCAAAGGTAATTAATTAGGAAACCTTCTTGTGGAGGCAGAGGGCATGGCTGACGTACTGAATGAGTACTTTGTATCTGTCTTCAAAAAAGAAGAGGGTGCAGCCAATGCCACAGTATCGGAGGAGAGGATAGAGACATTCGATAAGGTAAGAATAAACAGAGGTGGTACTAAAAAGGTTGTCGATGCTCAAGGTAGATAAGTCACCCGGTCCGGACGGGATGCATCCTAGGTTACTGAGGGAAGTAAGAATGGAAATAACGGAGGCTCTGGCCACAATCTTTCAATCCTCCTTGGACACTAGGGTGGCGCCAGAGGACTGGAGGGATGCAAATGTTACTCCTCTGTACAAAAAGAGGCAGAAGGATAAACCTGGGAACTACAGGCCAGACAGCCTCATGTCAGTAGTGGGGAAACGTCTAGAAACTATAATTCGGGACAAAATAAATTTTCACTTAGAAAAATATGGGTTAATAAAGGACAGTCAACACGGATTTGTTAAAGGCAAATCATGTCTAACAAATGTGATAGAGTTTTTTGATGAAGTAACGTAGAGGGTGGATGAAGGTAGTGCAGTTGATGTAGTTTACATGGATTTTCAAAAGCCATTTGATAAAGTGCCACATAAAAGATTTGTAAGCAAAATAAAAGCCTACGGTATTAAAGGGACAGTGGCAGCATGGATACAGAACTGGCTGGGAGACAGAAAGCAGAGAGTTGTGGTGAACGGTTGTTATTCTGACTGGAGGGAAGTGTGCAGTGGTGTCCCCGGGGTCAGTTTGTGCTGTTTGTGATCTATATAAATGACCTGCACTTGGGTATAGGGAGTACAATTTCCAAGTTTGCAGATGATACTAAGATAGGAAAAGTAGTAAACGGTGAGGAGGATAGTAGCAGACTGCAAGAGGACATAGACAGACTGGTAAAATGGGCAGACACGGGGCAGATGAAGTTTAATGTGGAGAAATGTAAAGTGATGGATTTTGT